TACGTCTGAAAGCAGAAGTCTAGGGCAAATAATTGCAAGTCTTTTCAGTGAGAATGTCACAAAACGATTTCAAAAGAAAAGCAAATTAAAAAAGTGACATTTTGAAAAAAAAGTAACATTTTGAAAAAGGAGTAACATTTTGAGAAAAAATGCAAATTCTGCGAAAAAAAGTCAAATTTGAGATTCATGGTGGGACATGTAGTTTATGGGCAACGTGCTTCTGTAAATCGCCATGTAACCTGATAACAAACATATTATATTCTTTGCAAGCTCTTGTGGGGCCACAGAAAACGAAGTCGCGGGCCCCCGGGCATTGAGTTTGACACCCCTGCTCTAAGTCTTAATTCCCTTACTTTGATGGTCTCCATGGTGACTTCAGTGTCCCTGGTGGCCTCCTCCAAAAGTGGCCTCATCGTCCCCAGCTCTTCCTGCATCTTACTCACATCATCTGCTGTGCTGAGGAGCTATGGGATGACAGAAACGCTTATTCATCACAAGTACACAAAAACAAATGTATTTTCTATTGCTGTTTCCCTCCTTTGTTTCAGTGCCTTGCCTTGTCTAGGCCGGTCTTCATGCGCTGACGAGCACTGCACAGTTCTTGCTTCTTGCGCACGGTGAGATCTGAGAAGATTTTCAGCAGCTCCAGGTAGCTCTTGGGGGTGACGTAGTTGTGCCTGGAAAGCTCAGCCAGGTACTGATCACACTTTCTGGCTACCATCTGGTGGATCTCCACACACATCAATGTCTGCAAAAGGGAATTCATTGTTGAGCGTGTGCTTAGTAAAAAGTTATTTCATTGCTGTTTGATTTTTGATTGTAGTTTCTTTTCTCTGCAGACAAACTATATTCCCTATTTATTTGACAAAGGTATAAAACTACATTTGCGCATTTGTTTGGGTGATTTTTCCCCATCCTTGTCAAATGCTGTGCAAACTGTCGACACATTATGAATGACGGTGAGGTTTGTTTCTATGTTTTCTTAATTCATTTTATATTTAAGAAAATATTTTTTTGAATGTATGTTACGATATTCAAACTTATCAATAAATCCCACTGACACACACGCAGCATGCTCACCAGTCCCCTCATGGCTGTGGGGCTGACGTCTAGCTCAGGCAGCTCATTGAGGAACGATGTAGCCACAGCCTGCAGAGCCTCCTCCGGCCAGGCGCTGAACCAGTCTATGGTGCAACATGTCACCAAGGAGGGAAACTGCCTCAGCCGCGCACGGAACACCTCACCCATAGGACTGCAGAGGAAGGAGAGGAAATTAGGATTAAGAAGAACACATATTAAAGCTCCCATATTATAATGTTGTTCATCAATATATTATAGCTCTCAGATATATACAAAACATCTCTCTGAAGTGTTGGGCTCCAAACACCAAACAGATCATTGCAGCATCCCATAATCCCCTCTGTTTCAGCCCTGTTTCAAAAGTGCTGATTCTCTGTCTGTTACTTTAGAATGAAAATAAGGAGCCACCCACCACGGCCCTCTGAGAGAGATTTGGTTAAAAAGAACACAATGGTGCTCTAGGAGGAGATTCAGGTGATAAGGGGGGGGTTACCTTGGTTGGTGATTGGCTAATGGTTACTCAAGCCAAAACATCTTTATGACATCATAAAGTGGCCAAAATCTGATCAGCTCATTTTCAGACACGTTTTTATATTACATTGCATCACATGTCATTTGTTAGACGCTTTTATCCAAAGTGACTTACATACATTCAGTACTGTGGTCAATCCCCACAGGAGCAATTTGGGGTGAAGTGTCTT